GTCGCTATCTACGCAGTCGTAGTTCATGAAAGTCTGAACGGCGCTTGTCTTTTTTGAAAAGGCAAGCGGTAGGCAACAATGAATTAATACGTGGTCACTGTCAAAGAGGTCCTTTTTTAAAGCAACAGAAAGAGGAGCAATGTCATTGGTATAGATTAGATCTAAAATGTGATTATCTCTTGTTGAAGAGCGCACCAGTTGGGACCAATTAGAAAAATTGATAATATCTTGAAAGGACTGGAATCTGGGTGGGCAGCTATTGGAAACCCAGTCAATTTCAGGAAGGTTAAAATCCCCAGTGATTATTTTAACATCGAAAGCAGCTTCCAAAATTAATTTAAAGATTTCACAAAGTTGAGAATCATCACTGGCTAAAGAATTTGGGGGTTGTAGATACAGCCAATAATTGCCTTTCTTTGCGGCGAGAGAATAACAGATGCAAAGCAGAAGTTTCCCGTGAATGAGGAAACATCCAAGTAATAGGGAGAGTGCTTTAGGTAGGATTTAAGATAAAGAAGACAACCACCCCCACGCCTAGTCGTGCGGTCTTGGCGGTAAAAATCGAAGTCATCTATGAGAAGGGCAGAGTCAGGAATTAGAGAATGTGTCCAAGATTCTGTTACACATATAATATCAGGCATCATTTCCAGAGCAATGGCTCTGATTTGGGCCATCTTGTTTATAACAGACCTGGCATTCAATAATATAATATCTAATGTGTTTCGAACGGCAATGCTATTTTCGACGGTATTGAAAGAAAATTTGGAGACGGATATGTAAGCTGCGAATTAATGACACTTGGAGAATAAGTACCAGTTAATTTAGAGTTATTGACGTATGGGGAGTCAGCAAGAGAAGGCTGAGTATGAGACCTAAAGGAGGTGGGGATATAGTTTTCAAACATTGGAATGCTAGGGGAGTTAGAACATGGATAGACTTGTTGGTAGTTAAATAATGGAGGAAGGGGAGGAGGAGGAAGGCTAGAAGGAAAGTAGGGGCTAATGGGTGAGAGTAGGCCACTAAAAGAATGAAATAGTGGGAAACCAGGTCTAGATTGGAAGTCAAAGGAGATAGGTTGACGTACCTGAGAGCAATTGGCCTTAAGTGGTGGGAAGCCTGAACTAGGTTGGGGCATAAATGATTTAGGGCAATTCATGTATGAATTAGTTGCTGGATATATAGTAGGGCTTTGATAAGTAACCGGTACGCAGGACAGAGAATTATTAGAGGATATAATTGGAGCTGCGGGATTTGTAGACGTGCTGGGCTGAACAGACTTGCTAGATCTAAGAGAAGGCGTCGTACCTCCAAATGGAACTGTACTACCTTTCTTTTGGGTCGGAGTCTGATTCAATTTTTGAGTCTCACCGTTCTGACGCCAAGCCACTGGTGACTTAGCTGTAGACCTTACAGCACCCAGTTGGACAATAGAAGTTATCGGTCTAGCTGATGTAGACGGATTTTCATGTGTCTCAGCGGGACTACCCGGAGGATACGAAACGACAAATGGGGCTGCTGCTGCTGCTGCTGCTGCAAGTTTAGGGGCAGGCAAATGCGTCAAGTGGTTCGAGTGAGATGGAGATGTCGGAGAAAGAGGAAGGAAGGAGTCAGATGTCGCAGAAGTAGGAGAAGCTGAATCCTTACGGCCACTTGTATTATGACCGAGTTGGGGAGCATTATACTGAGAAGCAGTAGGTTTACGTGAGAATAGAGACCCCATTCTACGCTCCATAGGAGTAAGATCATGACAAAGGAAAAATTTTGCCTTCTCTAGGTACGCAGTGACACGCTCTTGATGGGTAAAGATTGTGTCAACCTCGATTGATGAAAACAATTTGACTAAGATGGGTGGATTCGTACTACGGGAGGACAAGCGTTTGGCATCCGCTATTTTATAGTTGAAACCACATGAATACAGGAAACCGGTCGCAAAATCGATTGGCCGAGCAGATCGAGGAACATTTTTTAGCAGGAAGTTGTAAGAACGCTTCTGTCTATCACTAGATTCACTGGCGATCAGGTGAACAAGTGAGTCGAGATGCCTACATTCTTCAGAGGGAATATCGGATATGTTCCCGTCGAATAAATGTCCAAGAATTGTCAGCAAAGAGCCAAACTTTAGCATAAAGTCATTGCAGTGGTCAAGTGCAGACAGATTAAACTGCCGACCAATTACAACGGGTGACGACTGACTAGTAATATCATCTGACTTAGATTTAGGTAAAGCTTCTGACTTACGTTTAGTTAGGCCATGTTTACTTACAAGAGCCGAGAGCTTACGTCGACCAGTGACTTTTGGTCTCATCATGTCTCGAGGCAATTTGTGATTAGAGAACTTCTGGCAGACAAGTTGACTGAATTTCAGCTAGGGGCTAACGATGTAAAAATAAATTACAACAGTTAGAGAGAAATCGGATGCACAAAATGAGAATTGCAAAGTCCGATTAGTGAACAGCGGGCATAGACTAGCAAAACTCGAAAGGAGATGACAGCGGGCAGTTCTTAGAGAAAAGGCCTGTATTTAAGGACATTCAACCAAAAACAGGTACTAAAATCGTTAGATATCACAGAAAAACAACAAAAAATAATATCCTCCACTTATCTTCACATTTAAAACCAGCGACCGTCAAGAAGGGGGGAGGTTGCACGGTATCGGAGATTATCGGACGTCAAATTCCTTTCATGAAGCTGGGGATAGCCAAAGTAGAGGCATTGAGGAATAGCTCGTGAGACCGGCCATATTGTTCAGAGACAACAAACGCCATCGCTATGGTACAGTCGATCAGTAGATTCAGCACCCAAAATTTGTGGGAGCTTTTCTGAATGCAAAAATCGGGTAATAGTTCTCTTAAATAAAGGATAATTTTGCAGAGTTTTCACACTCATGGGTAGTTTATTCCAAATAGCAATTGCATTTATAGAAAAGAACCGACGATATTTAACAGTACGTGCCAGAGGCAGAAATAAAAAGACCTCACGGTGACTGTTACGTCGTGGGTGGATATGATGTCTTAAAGAAGTGAGTGGGTTAAATGTGTGATTATATGTGTTTAAATAGCGAAAATAAGAAGTAGAGAGGGCATAAGTAAGAGGCTTGTGGTCAGTATAAACACAAAAATCTCAGCCCTCAATATAATTACGAAAATGCTTAATGGCTAAATAACTTGCAAGAAGTTATCTACCAAAATTGCTATAGCGAGTTTGTGGGGGCGTCAGTTTGGCAGATTAGAAAGCCAAGGGCTGGGTGCCAGTGGGCATCTGTTGCTGAAGGGCAGCGCCTGTAGCGAAATTGAAGGCGTCGGCCACAATTGAGCGTGGGGCATCAGTTATAGGGTGAACAAGGACAGTTGTATCCGCAAGAGCCTTCCTGGTACCACTGAAAGGCTCAACAGTCCTAGAAATCCACGCCTCCCTCGCGAGCCAAATCGATGATTGGTCAACTAACTGAACTCCTGAACCTACTCAAGCGAAACAGTGCTATATCGCTAGACGAATGGCGACAGATGAAACCAACGGACACGGCACTGTCCCGGTTTTATGGATTACTCAAAATCCACAAGCCCAATGTTCCCCTTCGACCGATCGTTGCCTTGAAAGGCAGCCCCACTTACAATCTATCCAAGTGGATGGCCCGAAAACTTAACTTTCACCGAGAAGGCTCATGGACCTCCATCAATTCGGCCTCCCAATTCCTGGCCGACATCCGAGGAAACGTTTTCCTACCGGAGCAGATTATGGTGTCCTTTGACGTGGTTTCATTATTCACGTCCATCCCACCGGACCTGGAACGCGACGTTCTTCGCAAACGACTCGATGAGAATTACGACGAGACGAACAAACTCCTAAAAATCGACCACTTACTGCAACTGTTTGCTTTCTGCCAACAAACCTTCTTCACCTTCAATGGCAGAACATACGAGCAGATCAAAGGAACGCCAATGGGTTCGCCAATATCCAGCCTGGTTGCAGAACTAGTCCTGCAGAAACTGGAAAAAGTCGCCTTCGACCACTTTGAACCTGCATTTTGGCGCTGGTACGTGGACGACACGTTCGTCATAATTGAAAGGAGCAGACTGACCGACTTCCAAGACCTGCTCAACGGCATCTTCCCAGACATTCAGTTCACAAGGGAAGAAGAGCATGCCGAACAGCTGCCTTTCCTTGACGTTCTCTTCACACGCACACCCAACGGCTAACTCAACACCACGGTGTACAGAAAGGCGACTAACACGACTCAGATTCTCAACTACCACAGTAACCACCCAATGGCGCATAAACGCAGCTGTGTTAGGACACTCTTCCAGAGAGTAAAACGCACTGCAGTGCACCAGAGGGACGAGTACGCGAACTTCGGCATCTTCGGGACCAACTGGCAAGGAATGGATACCCGAACAGCTTCGTCAGCCGCTGCCTCCGCACGCGCCCACGGCGAACAAACGGAGGAGAGCCGCCAACACTCTGGCACCCTCTGCCATATATAAAGAACGTATCCGAAGCGATGGAACGTATTGCTGGAGAGCTCGGCGTGGGTATCGCTCACCGTCCGACAGCGACCATGCGCAGCAAAATCATGCAAGTGAAGGATCGCCTAGACGTGGGTGAACAATCGGGCGTCGTCTATTAAATCCCATGTCGGGACTGCCCTCGCCACTACACAGGACAAACCGGACGACGACTTAGCTCACGAATAACGGAGCACAAACGGGCGGTCCGGAGAGGCGACCCGTTGTCTCAGATCGCCACTCACACCCTGGAGGAAGGCCACGAATTCAACTTTGCGAGCATACGGATAGTGGCGCGTGCCAGCAATAAGACAGGACGTGAACTGTTAGAGGCCTGGGTGTCTGGCACCAACTCTATCAACAGGCACGTTGACATACCCCCCTGCTATCACGCGCTCCGTTCCCGCGGCCAAGGGGCGAGACCCAATTTCCAGCCAAGGGTGCACGCAGTCACGCCACCGTTAGACGGCGTGGGACGCAACTTATCGCGAATACCACCCTCTGCACTCATATCTCTCCCCCCCGCCTTCATGGCGTGACTACAAAAACCGCTCATTTGATGTTGCCTCCTCACAGTCTCTGTCGATAGCCTCCTGTACGAGACCGAAAGCTCAGACTAATAAACCCACTGTCCCAGAGATCGAGTCTTCATCTTCTTTACAACAAGAACCTGAGATTCGCATATTCGCTTCTCTACAGCTGTGTCAGGGAAAGAAAACTCACGGTTGTTCCCGCGTAAAAGGTTGGTAAGTGGTAGCATTAATTGAGCAAGGTGAGGGCTAAAACGTCGATATTAATTTACAGGGTCTATAAAACGGCGCAGTTGTTGAAAAGAAGTGGGAGTAGAGAAATCGCGAATAGCTGAAACTTTGGCGTCTATGGGATGACAACCAAAAGCATCTACGCGATATCTTGGGAAAAACAGCGACTGCACATTAAAACGCATTAAGAAACATTAATGAAAACGCCAAATTTGCTCGGTCTTTCAAAAATGAGACGTAAATGTTAGTATTGCTTGTGCTCATTGGAACTTGCTATCGGAATATCGTCGACATAGACAAAAATGAAAGGTAAGTCGCGGAGGGCTTCGTTGATGAAACGTTGAAAAGTTTGAGCGGAGTTGCGTAGTCCAAAAGGCATCCTGACAAACTCGAACAGACCGAACGGTGTTGTAATCGCCGTTTTGGGAACGACTTCTGGAGCAACGGTACCTGATGGGAAGGTTTGACAAAGTCAATCTTGGGAAATATCGTTGTTTCGGCTAGGCTAGATGAAAAGTCGGGGAATTGGATATCTGTCAGTCACATTGCAGGTGTTCATTGGTCGGTCATCCCCGCATAGGCGGCAGTCAACGAGAGACTTTTTGCGCACCATATGTAGAGGTGCAGCTCATGAACTTTTGGAAGGCCTGACTATGTCTAGCTTCATCCTGTGACTGAATTCAGCCTCGGTTATGGTTAACCTATCGGCGGCTAAACGACAAGGACGGCTAGACACGGGTTGTCTAGTAGTTGAAATAGAATGTACAAGAGAATGCTTGATGGGTTAGTTAAATTGTGAGGGCCGTGTAGTAGATGAAAATTCCGAAAGTAAACCATTATAGAGAGTAGACGAAGGGATTGTTGAGATACGTAAATTGGGTGATTAAAGGGTACGAGTGGAACATTTACAGTGTACAGAAGTCTTAGGATCAAATAATTTATGGGACTTAATGTCAACGAGGAGACCGAAACAGGATATAAATTCAGCGCCGAGAATGGCAGTACGGACATCAGCGATAGTGAGTAGCCAACTTAATGAACGTCTGAGACCCAAATCTGGTCTTAGGGATCGTTTACCAAAAGTTTTGATAGAAGTATTGTTAGCTGCTTGGAGGAAAATTGAAGTTTTTGGTGACTTAGGCTCAGTCAAGGTGGGTGGGATTAGACTGATCTCCGCACCAGTATCCACGAGAAAATTACGACAAGAAGTCCTGTCATAGATCGGGAGTCGACGTCAAGTTCGTGTCATAGTTCGGGAGTCAAGGTCAAGGCGCGCAGCTCAATTTCAAAGATAAGTGAAGTTCTGCATTTATCTGGATATTCATAAATAATTAATGCCTGTTTTTTACTTGAGTCCGTTTTAAAAGTCGCCTTTCTATATAAGGTAAGATTTTTTCCAAATTTGTTTGATAGTCTGCAAAATAGTCGTATTTTGTAAAAATCCATTGTAGTGAATCCTTTCCCTACTACCACTTTCTAGTTTTCGTAGTTAAAAAACCGTAATACTTACTACTCAGTGCACGTTTTCGTACGTTGGCAACGTTTTGATCCTTCCTCTGTAACGGAAAACGTTTTTTTGTCTGTAATGCCCCGCAGAGCACGGGCTAAGAGGCGAAAGCTTGCGGCCTCCCCACCGTCTCTCTGTGCTAAAATCGTGACTGAAGACATGGCAGACGCCAGCGTATGTTCTTCGCCGTCTGCAGATCTGAGTAACTCACAAATCCCTTTAGTACATGTAGAACCTCTTGACCCTTCAGTCGTCCAAAAATACGTTTCTGATAGTCGTAGCCGGCCATCAGCCGTCGAAATAGTCGACAAGTTTGTTTATGGCGACATAAAAGGCACTTCTGAAAAAGTCATTGAACAAGCTTTTAAACTTATTGGGTTAATAAGTTCGGAAACTGAGGAAAAGAATTTAACGCAAGCATAATTTCGTACTGCAAAACATTCCGAGCCACTTATCTGCTATGGAGGGAGCGCATTTGTTCCTACAAAGTTGTGGCTTGAGTTTCCGTGTCCCCGATACTAGTTACCCTTTTCTCCATGATAAAAGTCGATTTTGTCTTGCCAAGGGGGGAGATAACTAGAGACTTCTGCCGTAAATGGCGCTGCTCCGTTTCGCCAGACCTCAACCCCATGCAGCGAAGACTGAATAAATTAAAATCGGCAAAAAACAAAACCAAGATAATGACACCTACTGTCAGTCTGAATATGTCCTCTACAACACCACCTGCGGCATCTGCAAGTCACGGCATAGTCAATTCCGTAGGGAGTTCGACTACTTTTAATGCTGACCTCTTTAAACACACCACCACGCCTGGTATAAACACGCCTCTATCGACTCCCTCAGCAACCCCTAGTAAGCCTAAGCATGTGTCTAAGTCAAAGGCAAATCCAGTTGCTGTCTCAGCCACTCGGACACCCAATAAATCCAGCACCATTATACAATCTTTTCCTCCACAGTCGGCTAACGGTGCCTCAAATACCCCGACTCAATACGTAGCGTGTTCCCAACTGCAACCCAGCCCTCATATCGAGGCCGAATATGCCGACTTTCCCGCCGTTTAATAGAACTCTTGCTCCAATGGAAACAATGCGCCCCCACCCCCTAACTTGTTTCCTCCACGGCCGTTTTACCAATGTATTCCTCATGCTAATGTCCATACTGGATCAGTTAATTCATCCGATCCTCAGTTTCGTTCTGGCGGGAATACGTTGCAGTATCTGCCCCGCGGATTTCCAGCTGAAAATAAGTTAGCTAACAATGGTTACCAGTTCACCTGCCCGTCGTTCCCTCCCCCAAGTCTTACCCCTTTTTATCCACGTCAGAATTTTTTGATGCCACAAAATTTTTTGCAGAACCGGATGGTTGCATCCGGACCGTTTGCTCCGTGGGCGACCCAGAAGTGGACGATGTAGCCCACCTCCCTCAAAAACTAACAGCCTTTCCCTTCAAACTTTTTGTTTTAAATGCCAGATCCTTCCTTAATTAGGTGCCTTTGCTTCATACTCCGGTATTCGTTCATTGTCCTGATATTGTTTTAGTAACTGAGACGTGGGCATCAGCCTCAGTAGCTGACTCCGAACTCTCTCTCTTCTAGGCTATAATTGCATCCGAAATGATCGCCAAGTTAGACGTTGTGGGGGCAGCTGCGTCTACGTTAAGCAAACACTTACATGTTTGCCGTTGGACCTCCCGCACTTTTCCGCAGTAGAAGGCAGCTGCTGGATCCAGGTTACACTAAAAAATAAGTTCTCCTTACTCATTGGCTGCGTCTATCGCCCTCCCAACGCCAATGACAATTTTGATCGTTTACTCTCACAGGCATTTCATGCTGCGGCCGACTTAAGCTTTAAGTATCAATTGGTTGCAGGTGACTTTAATCTCCCCGAGGTCCGCTGGTCTCCGCCTTCAGGCCCCAGAAGGTTCGAAGACTTTCTTGAGGCTGTGGATGTCGGGATGTGGATTCAGTTTGTCGATTTTCTCACCCGAGGCTCAAGCATACTTGACCTAATTTTCTGTAGAGAATGCATGCCATCGTCGGGGGCTCAGACCATGACATAGTTGTTTCAACGTTGGAATTCGAGGCTGACGAAATGTCTTCCCAAAAGTATAACCTTTTCCGCGATTTCCGATTTACTCGCTCAATCGAATTATTAACACACCTTAATTCCTACGACTGGACTGATTTCTTCCTTTGTTCGGATGTAAATGTTTGCACTGCAGAACTGTACGAAATTTCGGATCCGCTTATTTCTCGTTTTGTCCCCCGTAAGAAAATTATTAATGTTGGGGATGAGGTTTTCCTACCCTTACCCTTTCGTCACAGATTGCGCAGGCTTTATCTTCGTTTCCATCTTCGGAACGATGTTTCTGCCCTGCCCTTGATTTGTGATATTTTTGATCGAGCTAAGAGATTGTCTGAAGAAAAA